TAATTAACATATAGAAAAAATTAATGCGGGCGCACGAGTGCTCGGCGCGCTGTGCGATCGTTGCATTATTATTATGAAGTTGCGTTGGGCCTCGCAATCACGCGTGGACTTTTCTATTGTGGACAGTACAGAACTCACCAACATCCGTCGGCCTCCTTAAAGGGCCACATAAATTTCAAATTCAATTTTTGGAATCACATGTCGACTTTTCTATTGTGGACAATACAGAACTCCCCGACATCCGTCGGCCTCCTTAAAGGGCCGCAGAAATGTCAAAATCAGTTTTTGGAATCACATGTCGACTCTTCTATTGTGGACAATACAGAACTCCGCAACATCCGTCGGCCTCCTTAAGGGCCACAGAAATTTCAAATTCAGTTTTTGGAATCACATGTCGACTTTCCTATTGTGGACAATACAGAAATCCCACGCGCGCGCGCGTCGGAGTTCTGTATTGTCCACAATAGAAGAGTCGACATGTGATTCCAAAAACTGAATTTGGATTTGTTTTGGAGTTTTGTATTGTCCACAATAGAAAAATCGACATGTGATTCCGAAAACTGAATTTGAAATTTCTGTGGCCCTTTAAAGAGGCCGACGGAAGTTGGGGAGTTCTGTATTGTCCACAATAGAAAAGTCGACATGTGATTCCAAAAACTGAATCGAACATGTCTGTGGCTAAGGAGGCCGACGGACGGACGGGGAATCGTTCGCGCCCGCGAGGGCACACATCATCATCATCATCATCATCATCAGCATCATCATCATCATCGCCATCATCATCAGGGTCAGTATTCATCATCATTCAGGTGGGCCGAAGGCTATTAGATGATCAAACAGAAGCGTCAAGAATTCGACAGTATGTGCTCGTCCTCGGGGGGGGCAGGGACAGAGAGAAAGAACGCGACGCGACGACGATGGAGCGGCGACGGCGGCGGCGGCGGCTGTTTCGGCCGCGCTCCCCTGCTGGTCGCTTCGGCCGGCGGCGGCGGCGGCGGCGGTGGCGGCGGCGAGACGTCGACGGCAACGGCGACGGCGGTGCGCTTGGGCGGCGCGCGCGGGAAGGGAGGGCGCTCCTCCTGTCCTTGTCCTCCGCCCATTCCTTTTTTTTTTCTCCTGGCCCCCTCCTCCCCGTCGTCGTCGTCCTCATCATCCCCCCCCTCTTCTTCCTCCTCCCCCCTCCCGAACAACTTCACCATGATGTCTCCTTCCTCCCTCCGCCATCGTCCTGATTCCATTCATCGGCATTCGCGCCTCCGCCACTTCCGTCTGCGCCTCCTCCGCTTTCTCCTCGCCGTCGTCCGAAGATGCCCGCTCTGACGTCCGAGGATGCCCGCTTCTTCTGCGCCTCCCCCGCTCTGACGTCCGAGGATGCCTTCCTACATTTCTCTGACGTTTCCAGGCCTCCAGAGGCCTTTGCTGCCGGGGGCCTCCAGGGACATCCAGGGACATCCGGCGACCTCCAGGGACCTCCAGGGACCTCCAGCTGCGCGGGGAATATATATATATATATATATATATATATATATATATATATATCAACAGCGCCCTTCTTCAGCCAGCGCGGCGGCGCTCGAGCCTCGGCCCTGGCGGATCGAGATTTTGGGAGTTCTGGCTTTCGGGGGGGGGCCTCCTCGTCGTCGCCCCAGCTGGACGCAGCCCGAAACGACGGGGGGGCACGGCCGAAACAGCTTTTAAGCTCACGAACGGCGGGGGAGAGCCAGCAACCCCCCAGGGGGAAGAAGAAAAGGGGGAAAGAGGGCGGGCAGCACGTTGCACCGTAACAAACAGCCATTTTGGCTGAGTGCTGGGAGCGGGCTCCGCTCCTGTCCTCTCCCCACACAGCAGCGGCCCGCGTCGGCCGCCGACCGCCGCCGCCGCTGCCATGCCCGCGCTGGGCGTCGACGCGGGGGGCGTCGCGTCTGGGGAGGGCGACGACGGCCAGGGTGGTCGTCTGGAAGGTTCTGCCAGGTGTGCAAGCGCATGGCGCACTCGGAGGCGGCGCCGCGGCGGCCTGGCGGTGGCGCCCAGCCCGCCGCCAGATTCGCCGCGGCGCCTCCGCGGGGCGCGCCGTGAGCCTGCGCGCCCCCAAAGGCGATGACATCTATATGGTTGTGGAGCACGGGTTCTGGCCTTTTGCGGTTCTCTATGCGGCTGAGTTCGGCCTGCGCGACTTCCACTTCATCAGTCGCACTAACCGTGGCACGTGGCATTCTCGCCATCATAGGTTGGGCCAGGTGGAGGCCTGGGTCGTGCGGCTGATCAGGAGCACAGGTCTGTTCGAGATGGGGCTAAGGCAGATGAACGTCCACCTGACCAAGCAGAAGAGCGGGCCTGATGGGAAAGGCGCTAAGTGCGCTGACGACCGCGTGGTCTTGACGCACATGATCGACAACGACCTCGAGTGCCTGTGGAGCGTCATCCACGAGGCTGGCCAGCAGCAGGCCAACACCATCAACGCCGTCATCCAGTACACGGGCGTCAGGGCCGCTGGGTCTAAGTGGGACCCCGACGACGACGACTTGCTGCTCACGATGAGCACGTTCTGGGAGGTGGCTGGCGCATTATTGTTATTGGAGGGGGCGTCAGGGTGGGTATGTGTTTTGTAGCTCGGTGATCTTCATCGTCGTCGTCGTCGTCGTCGTCGTCGTCTGTCGTTGTCGTTCGTTTGTCGTTCTTCGTCGTTGTCGGGGATTCCCCTCTTCTTTTTTGGAGCCCCCTCCCCACTGAGGCTCGCAACTAATAATAATAACAATCCGCTAGCCCATGGAAGGTCGCGGACTACTTCGGCCTGCCGAACATGGACATCTGGGACCAGCTGGCGCAGCTCGGGCCGCCTCATCGCCCCGCGCCGACCGACAAGACGCCAGAGCAGTTGATCGAGCAGTGCCGGCGCCGCTCCAGCGGGGCGCGCCGTCGCCCGCCGACGGAGGAGCTCGACGACGACGGCGACATCATCGACGGCGACGACGACAATCGCCCAGATGGTGCTGGCGGTCGTCGCCCCCGAGGAGGCGGAGGAGGCGGGCGGCCCGTGACGCCGCCGAGGTCGGCGGCGTCCACTCCACCGCCGAGGAAGGTAGCGCCGAAGCTGCTGGTGGCCAAGAAGGCGGCGTCGCCGCCGTTGGTGCCGCCGCCGACCCACCTCGCCGCCGCGCCGCCCGCCAGGGGGTCGGTGGCCGCCGCCTCGGCTGCATCGGCCCAGACTGCGAAGGCGGCGGCGGCGACGGCGATCCCGCTGCAGCCTCAGCAGCCGAAGGTGCCTCCTCGTCCTGGGCGCTACGCCATGGCGACGACGCCGCCGACGCCAGGGCGCCCGTCGTCGTCGGCTGCGGGCGCAGCAGCGCCGGCAGCGACGATGACGCAGCAGGAGCTCCAGCATCAGGTCGAGATGCTGCAGGCGCAAATGAACACCCTGATCGCCTTGCAGATGTCGCCCGGGGCTGCTTCTTCGGCGTCGTCGTCAGGAGCTGCTGCAGCGGCAGCCGCGTCTCCTCCTCCTCCTGAGCCTGGGGCTGCATCGGCCGCGGCGCAAGGGGGGGGGGAGTGGCAGGGCTGGCAATCGGCCACGCAGCATTCGAGGGCCTGGAATCTGAAGAAGTTAGCTCGAGCACGGGCCTTCGGAGCTGGCGCGAGGCCTGCAGGAGTCCGCACGGCGCCTGCGATGACCATGTGCGCCCATTGCAACAGCAATCAGCCTGGCGCATACTGCGTTAGGTTTGCGTGCAGGGTGTGCTGCCAGAGGTTGCAGGCGTCGAACCCAGACACTATTTGCGAGCAGCACCGTGCTTGAAACAAGCACTGCCGCGTCGTGTGCTCGACCAGCGAGCGCCCCTGTAGTTTTGCGACCTGGACGCGCGTCAACAACGTGACGACTGCGCGGTCGCCGTATAGTCAGGGGGTTGCACGCTACTCTTCGCTATAAGTGCGCAAGTTACGAGACGAATGCTGAGATCGGCGCTCGACCCGTCCGTGGAAAAATCATCATCGCCATCATCAGACATCAGAGGGCGATGAATGAATGAGGATGGCGAATGAGGAGGAGGAGGAGGAGGAGGAGGCGGAGGAGGAGGAGGAGGAGGAAGAGGAGGAGGATGAGGAGGAGGAGGAGGAGGGAGAGGCAACAGCAGCAGGAGGAGGGAGGGCCGTGACGAGGAGGGATAGCGAGGAGAGAAGGGTTGGAGGGTGGAGAAGGGGGAGGAGAGAAGGGTTGGAGGGTGGAGAAGTGGGGGGAGAGGAGAAGGGGGGGCCACCCGCCAGCAACAGCGGCCTCCTAGCCAGCAGCGCCCCCTGCAGCGGCGGGGACATATGCCCCCACCCATCCGTTCAACTACGTCAGCTGCGCCTCCACGAGAGCTCCATGGGTTATTGGCCACGCCCATCTTCTTTGTCTGCATGTGATTTGCGTCAGCTGCGCCTCCAAGAGAGCTTTCTGAGTTCTTAGTTACTTCGGGATGGGCCTGAACATCTGGGCCACGTCAGATTCTGCCTCTGGAACGCTTTCGGGACAACAAGTGGCCCATGTGGGTTGGGCATGTCGATTGGTCCGCGCACTCCTTCCATGGTCGGTCTGCTCTGGAACTTGGAACCCTGCCCCGTCTCAATTTCTACCACTTTGGCTGTTTCGGCCGAAGGCCAGGCCGGCTGCGTCGGCCGGATCCTGACGGCCGTTTCGGCCAACTCTCTCTTTCTTGCCGTCGTCGCGTTCGTCGTCGTCTGTCGCCGCCGCCGTCGACCCTCGCTCGCCGCCGCCCTGCGCCTTCTTCTTTCGTCGTCGTCGTCGTCAGCGCTGCTGCTGATCTGCCCGTCGATCGATCGTCGACCCCCCGCTACCCTCCCGCCTGCGGCTCGCCTCCTCCTCCCCCTCCTCCGCTTCCTCCAATTCCATTTCCATCTCCGCAACCGTTTTGGTTCAGTGTGTACCGACGCGGGCTGTTGCGGCCCTTCAGAACGAACATAACGTGTGGACTCGTCGACTGGCAGTGGGAGTTACGCCAGTCATGCCCGCTAAGGCGGTCAAGCGCGAGCAGAAGGGGGCTGCCTCGGCCCCCCCGCCCATGAAAAGGGCAAAGGCGAAGGCTAAGCAGCCGGAGTCTGACCCTGCTGGTTCGGCAGGAGGTGCGCAGCCGGAGGCGCCGCCGGAGACCAACCAAGTCGTGGGCCCGACGCTGGACATCATCACCGATGCTTTGAACGCCATCAAGGGGTCGCCATTCTTCGCCGACCTCGAGAAGAAAATGCCGCTGACCATCGCCCAGGGCGGTCGCCAGGCGCCGTTCGTGAAGGAGGATTGTTCTGATGCCCTCAGCCGCGGATCCCCGTACTCATGTGGGTGCAACCTCTTCTGGCAGGACTTCTTCTGGAGCTCCAGCTACCGCACCCCTGTGAACATGGGGCAGGTCAGGGAGATCGTGAACTACCACCTTAAGAGCCCGCCAAATGTCTTCCCCATGAACACCGTCTTCGCGGTGGACAGCTCGGACATGGACGTCACTAAGCACCTGGGCAGTTTGCAGCGCCTCTCACCAATCGAGCCGCAGCTGGCCTTGCTCATGGCCATCGCTGACGCGGTAAAGCAGCAGGCGGAGGACTCCATCCTGTCAAAGTGGATGCAGGTCGTGCTTTCGGCGCCAGTGACGTTCGAGGTGGTGTTGCCAGGTGACCTGCGGTATTGGCGCGCCCAGAACATTCGGCAGGAGTGGATCGAGCATGGGGAGACAGCCCAACTCACTGCGAGGCAATGGGTGTACGACATCGTCGGGTTCAAGGCGGCGAAGGAAAAAGAGCTGGAGAAAACGTTGGGCGCCAAGGACGTCAGCGAGCTCTACGAGAAGAAGATGAAGTATGCGCGGTCTACTGAAAAAGTGAAACAAACCTTCGTGGATAACGCAATCACAGTCCACAAGCGGTTGCTGTCCCTGGAGGCGTCCAATCGGTGCCTTGTCTGGGCGGACGAGAACCTGATGAACAAGTCCCCGTGGAATAGCCTCTACGCGATGCACGCTGTGGTCGAGCGCGCGTCGACCCCCAACAAGATCGATTGGGCGATGATGGGCCTCACGGATCATTACCGCATGGCGCCCCGGGGGTTGTTCTGAACACCCATCGCTGCTCGCGCCAGCCCGTCGACGACGCGTCGTCGTCGTCGGCGGGACGGCGCGAATCAGCGTTGGGGAGGGGTCAGAACCACCAGGACTTCATCAACTTAGGCGAGTTCGGTGTCAGCAAGCTCAGGGACTACAGGCAGAGCTACGTTGAAATCTTGAACATGAAATACGACGTGAAGAACGAGCTCTTGTTCAAGTGGCTTCCGCGCACTGGCATCCCAACCGAACACGTCACATTGATGCAAGAGAAGATGAATACCTTCGACGCGGTGCGGACGTACGTCAGTTCCTACCCAGGGGGGGTAGTCGATACCACGTGGCAGGCTCTGATTAGTGTTGGTGGCAAGCAGTCGGCTGTTTCGGCTGTCACGCTCATCGAGGAGTTGGTGTACACAACCGAGTTCGACTCTCGCTACAGGAACGCCGTCCAGTCGAAGCTCGAGGTGGCGGATTTTCTCGCCTACGAATCGATCTCCACGCGCATGAGCGAAGTCATCGAGATGGTGCGGAGGGAGAACAATGGGGGGCATGGTACTACTGACACGCCGGCCGCGGCTGGAAGTGGCACGGGCACCCCTGCAGCTGCCGGGGCTGACAACCCTGCGGGGCAGATGACCGCAGTGGCGGGCGACAGGCCCGCGGAGTTGAAAAACTTCGACAAGCTGCCAGAGATGGACAAAACGAGTTGGAACAAATTCATCGACAAGCTCATTCGCACGTACGTTCAGATCGTGCCCGACCAGAAAACGGCGGCCGAGCTGGAGACCATGCTCCGGGACTCCGCGCTCGCCACCATCAAGGGTGACCCCACGGGGCTGGTGCTGTACCACTTCGACGTGAAGCAGTTCGGCGAGCCGCTCACCAGGCCTGAGCTGCGCATTGCGCCCCTCAGGGATGGCCCGTACCACCGCCTCGTGCGGACGATGCTGAACGCGAGGGCGCCTCAGGGGCAACTAGCCCATCTCCGCAATGGGGAGGTCGCAGTGATTTTGGACGGCGGGCGGAGGGGCAACGCGACCAAGTTGCTCGGGCCGTGGAAGGAGAACACCATCGAGACGAAGAAGGATACACCGCCGAGCAAGGGGCGCGGCTGCGATGAGCCCGACGATGACGATGATAAGGAGGATGACGACAACAGCGACGCTGAGAAGAAGGCCGGCTTCAAAGCTTCGATCATCCAGCTCGCGTACACGGAGAAGAGCCTCAAGAAGCGCCGCAACAGGGTTCACGGAGGCACGGGGAGCTTGCAGCAGGTAGAGTGGGTGCACATGTTGGCGCACTCGCGCATTTCGGTCCCTGAGCGGCGCCGCAAGCACTTCGAGGGCAGCACCGCGGGGGATCTGATCAACGGCATCGAGCTCCCAGAGTTGAGCAAGGAATGGCACGTGACGTGGAAAGACAAAAAGGCAATATACGGGAAGCGCAATCTGATTGCGGTGGGGGGCAAAACAGAGGGCATTCAAGGCGAGGCCGAGCGGAAAACCGACTCTACCGTTGTCCCCATTTCCTACCACGGCATGCCGCTTCTCTTCTACAAAGAGCTGCTGCACATGTTCTTTGTCAAATGCGTCCTCGACATGACCCCGCTCAACGCGAAATTCGCGTGGGCTTGTCTCGAGGAGAGGGTCGCATACGTCGGGGTGGCCTTCACGAAAGAACACATGGAGAAAATCTACCTCCACCTGGCGGAGCTCGTGAAGAGCGCGATGGCGGATCCTGGGTCCAAGCTGTTCAACAAGGAGTACGCGAAAGCTGTCGGCAAGGAGGTGGCGCCGACGCCGAAGGTACAGCCAGGGCCGAAGCGCCGCAGCCGCCGCAACACCGGCGCCGCCGCGGCAGCGGAGGCCGACGCCGGCGCGGGGGAGGGCGGCGGCGGCGATGGTGGTGACCAGCAGGAGGGCGGCGGCGGCGGCGGCGGTGGTTGCCAGAGCGGCGGCTTTGCCGGAGGAGATGATGGGTTCGACGACGATCCCGCGGCAGAAGGGCTGCCTGGCGCTGACGAGGAGCTCTGGGACCCTTTGCAGGAGGATTAGAGCTGAGGTGCAGTCAACCTGCGAGGACGAGTCATGCGATCATGATGATTGAGAGCAGCCATTACCGTAGTAGTCATCGGCCCAATCAGATGTCCCTGTTTGAAGTTCAGAACCCCATCCCCCGCAATGATGATGAGGATTATGATGATGATGCGTGAGTTTATCGGTTTACCCAAGCTTTGGGACGATGGCATTTTTGTAGCTGCGTGCGTTGCGTTTGTTGTAGAATAATACCGTCTAAGCTGACATAGGTTTCTGGCAGCATTTGCGCGCGTTTTTTAGCATCGCTGATTCGGCGGGCACGCCGGGCAGGCTGTTTCGGCTAGCCCCAGGCCCCTTCTGTCCTCACCAGCGCATCCCACCATGACGGATGGCATTGCAAAAAAACATGCATGGCTTCCGCCGCCCGCCTTGGCTCACTCATGCCCTCGAGCTTCCATGTATTGTGCTTTTCCAATCGGAATGTTCGCGCGGCTTTGGACGTGATTGGAGTTGGACTCGGCGCTGGATTTGAAAGAGGCACTTAAAGCACACAGGATAGCCGTGACAACCTCCTCCTCATCATCCTCTTCCTCCTCCTCCTCCTCACTATCCCCTCCTCCTCCCCCCCTCCTTATAGCTTCGAAAACGCCCGAACACTTTACTGCAACAGATGATGCTCGCAAACACGCCCAGACACTTTACTGCAACAGATGGCGCTCACTATGCGTAGAGGTTCTGTTTCGAGTATTGGTCAAGGCCTTTGGGCTCCGCCGCCTGCGCCACCGCCACCGCAGCTCGCTGCCGACCTCGAGCTGCGGTAGGAGAGGTCTGTCGGGCAATTCGCCGACGGCAGCGAGCTGCGGCAGGGGCTGGCGGCCCCTGCCGCAGCTCACTGCCGACCTCGAGCTGCGGTAGGAGAGGTCTGTCGGGCAATTCGCCGACGGCAGCGAGCTGCGGTAGGGGCCCGCGGCCCCTACCAGAGCTCACTGCCGACCTCGAGCTGCGGTAGGAGAGGTCTGTCGGGCAAGTCGCCGAGGGCACCGCCGCAGCTCACTGCCGACCTCGAGCTGCGGTAGGAGAGGTCTGTCGTCGCGCGAGTCGCCGACGGCAGCGAGCTGCGGTAGGAGAACTCTGAGAAGCCCCCTGTCGCGCGAGTCGCCGATGATGATGGGGGGTGGGGGGGGGGGGGGAGGAGGGGGTGCGAGTGAATGGCGGGCCCGTCGTCGCTCGCGGCCGACGCTCGCGTTCGTTGCCGCGGGAGCTGCGCAAGGAGCTTACTAACAGTCGTCTCTGATCGCAGCTCCCTGTCGCCAGGGAGCTGCGGTAACCAATGTTCGGGAGCATGTTGCGAGACGTCTGTTCGGGGGCCCCCGAACAGACGTCTCGCAACATGCTCCCGAACATTGGTTACCGCAGCTCCCTGGCGACAGGGAGCTGCGATTAGAGACGACTGTTAGTAAGCTCCTTGCGCAGCTCCCGCGGCAACGAACGCGCGCGTCGGCCGCGAGCGACGACGGGCCCGCCATTCATTCGCACCCCCTCCTCCCCCCCCCCCCCCACCCCCCATCATCATCGGCGACTCGCGCGACAGGGGGCGTCTCAGTCAGAGTTATCCTACCGCCGCTCGAGGTCGGCAGTGAGCAGCGGTAGTAGGGGCCGCCGGCCCCTACCGCAGCTCGCTGCCGTCGGCGAATTGCCCGACGGACCTCTCCTACCGCAGCTCGAGGTCGGCAGCGAGCTGCGGTGCCCTCGGCGACTTGCCCGACAGACCTCTCCTACCGCAGCTCGAGGTCGGCAGTGAGCTGCGGTGGCGGTGGTGCAGACGGACCACCCCCGCTACCGCAGCTCGCTGCCGTCGGCGAATTGCCCGACAGACCTCTCCCACCGCAGCTCGAGGTCGGCAGCGAGCTGTGGCGGTGGCTACCGCAGCTCGCTGCCGTCGGCGAATTGCGCGACAGACCTCTCCTACCGCAGCTCGAGGTCGGCAGTGAGCTGCGGCGGCGGTGGTGCAGGCGGCGGCGACAGTGGCGGGGTGCCAGCGGATGCGTTCGGGCGCGGCGTTGGTAGTGGGAGGGGGGCCTTCATCATCACTGGGTGCTTGGCAGGTGGGCTGGGGGGAGGAGGGGCCGAATGCATTCGCAAGGCCCCCAGCAACGAGGCCGCGTGTTCTGGACTTCTGATGTGGTTATCGGGCCCCCCAGCGGGGCCGCATCAGAGGGCTCATCCAAGACATATAGGATGGATTGGCGTTCCGCCATCTGCCGTGTCATGCCTGCAGTTCGCGCGGGGGCCGCGTTGTTGGGGGGCGACGGCGGGGGGATCATAAGTTACGGCGTTCCGAAATCTACCGCGTTGGTTCCCCCTCAGTGGAGTTGACAAATTGCACAGCGAGCCGCGTGGCTCGTTCCTCAGGGGCTTTCGTTCTACAAGGGGCTCTGGTGGTCTGACTGGCGGTCCCGACGGCGCTTGCGACGCCGAAGAGGAAGCAGATGCGTTCTTACTTACTACAGACATGTCATTCCAATGTGCTCTGGAAACGTTGTTCCGGAGCACTTTAAAGTGACCCCCCCCAGCAGAGGGCGACGAACTAAGGTTTGATTCATCTGCAGCTGTTTCGGCCAGAACCAATAATACTACATACACAATCGTGTCTTCTCTTCCTGCCCGCCTGTTCCCCCCGCGCGATTCCCCGCGTCGCCGACATGGGGAAGACGACAGTCAATGCTGGGGTGAAGAATACTGCTGGCGGGCAGCCGAGGCAGCCGCGGCGCCCGAAGGTCCTGAAGTTGGGATCTGATTTCTCGGGCGTCGAGACGGCGTCCGTGGCCATGAAGCGCATGGGCATCAGTCATTCCCTCGAGTTCGTGAGCGAGTCTGATTCGGCGTGCATGTCAGTCATCAAGAAGAACCACCAGCCGGCGCACGCGTTCTCGAACATACTGGAGCGTACGGCCGCGGAGGAGACTTACGCCGACGTGTACGCGTGGACCCCTCCTTGCCAAGACTTCTCTGCTGGCGGCAAACAGGAGGGCGTCAGCGGCGAGCGCCGCACGGGGGACCTGATCAAGAAGAGCATGCAGTTCATAAAGAACAAACGGCCCCGCCTGACCATCTTCGAGAACGTCCCGACCCTCATGACCAAAAAGTTCGCCCGCATCCTCAATGGCATCGAGGAAGCGCAGAAGAAGCTTGGCTACGTCGTTCACGTGAAGAAGCTGAACAGCAAGGACTTTGGAGTTCCCCAGTCGAGGGAGCGCGTCCATGTTGTCGGCGTGCGGCAGGACAGCGAGATGCATCCGTTCACGTGGCCGCAGAAGCAGGCGACGCCTCCAGCGACTTCCATCCTGGAGCCCAAGCGTGCGACCGACGTGGCAGGTCGGCTCCCCAGCAGCAAGCGCAGCCGGGACCTGTGCAAGGCCGCCTACAAGAAAGTCTGCAAGAAGAAGACGGGGGTGGACCCGCGCGTGACCCCAGTGATGGTCGACATCGACTGCTCCGAGAGGTTCGCCACGCACGGGATCAACATCGCCAGGACCCTCACCAAAACCCGTGGCCAGAACGGAGGTCCGTGGGTCTCCAGCCGCGGGCGGCGGGTGACGCTGCATGAGATGATGCGGCTTCAGGGTTTCGCCAAGAAGGACATTCCACAGGCTGAGCTCAACCTGTCGGACCACCAGATCGGCGGCATGGTCGGCAACGCAGTCAGCGTGCATACCATGGGCGCCATTTTGTCGGAGGGGCTCCACAGCGCCGGGCTGACGAAGACGAAGGTGCCATTTCCCTTGCACTATGAGTGGTGAGTGCAACTTGATTGTACCGCATGTGGTTTTGCGATATCGGCCCAGGCTGTTCCGGCCCATCGGCTGCATTTCCTTCTGTCGCTCTTAGGTCAAGGAGTTCCAGCACCTGGCCCCAAGGAAAATGACCGCTAACATAAATAAGGCCCTAGTGGGGCCTGTTGTGTTTTGGCGTCTCTGATGCGGTTTGTTGATGGGTAGGCTCGCCACCCATGGTACATGTTTGTTGATGGGCCAGCTTGCTGGCCATGCCATTTCTTACTGTCACGCGCCTTATCCCATCTCTCGTAACCATTTTTGCTCAAGTCTCATGTGTCTGCACGGCCGACAACGATTATTGCTACCGCCAGCCACCCCGATGTAGCTATGGTGGCGAAGCAAAGCAGCAAGTCATCCGACAGCAGATTCGCCGCGGCGACTCTTTGGAAGAGACTCTACCCTAAGTGGTCCAAGCGGTTCCTGGTGGATCCTGGCCGCCCTCACCTTGGTTCATGGTTGAGTAGCAAGTGGAAGGACGGTAAAGGAGTTGGTTGCGCGCGCTGCCATTGGGCAGGCATCAACAGCCCGTTCAGCAATTTTCAGGCTATGTCTGTGCCTGCGCTCCAGGCTGCCAACTTCGCCAAGCACGATCGGAACCCAACTCACAGGGCTGCTGCTGCGGCTTATGCGCAGATGCAGGCTCAGCAGCGTTTGGCTCCGTCTCATTCGCAGATGCAGGCTCAGCAGAGTTCGGCTGCATCGGCTGAGTTTCTGCAATGCCCCAGCGAGTCTGACTTCCTGGACGTCGTGAAGCTGGTAGGCAATGGGTGCGGCCTCGAGAACAGAAAGCACCGTAGAATATTGTGGTGCTTGCAGCAGGCCCTGAAGCAACGCGACATGAACATCAAATCAAGTGCAGCAATTTCCCTTTTCCGTGACGAACGGAAGGGGCGGCTACTCGTCCGATTCAGATGCGTCGGGCACGACCTGTCTGAGTTCTCAGGGACATTGGGGCAAGCTCGTGGCTTTGGGACTGGAGCCGCGGCAATCACCAACGCTACAGAGCAAATTATGGTCAGAGCGTGCACTGAGCTGCACGGACCCCCGCAGGGAGCGAAGTGCATCCCCGCTCTCAAGCAGGAGATTTTGGAACATCTGAAAGCGCGGGTGTTGTGTCTCACGGCTGATTCTGCGAGCGATGAGCTTCTCAGCGCTGAGATGATGCGATCGGCTGCCTTGAGT